TCACCTCCTCACGAAGCGAAGTAAGCTCCGCTAAGAAGTGATCCATCTTGGTTTGGACATCTAGCCGCATGCTGTCCAATGCGGAGTTGAGGGCTCCTTGGAATTGGCCTTGAAGCTCATCCACCACAGCTTCGAAACCACTCTTCGTAAGGACGTCCTCCTCGAGTCGCTGATCAAACTCGACCACGGCCATCTCCATCTTAGAAAGCCGCTTCTCCATCATGGCTACAACATCTCTAGATCGTTCCCTCTTTGATTTGCCCCCACGATCCATATTGACCTTGGACAGATCAGTCTCCACATCGGATCCGCTCTTCGACATGCTTCTTCGAATGATTCGAGCTTTCGCTCTGATACCAACTGTCACGGGATGACTTTTTCGGAGTCTTCCTTCCGTGCGGCCTTAGACTTGATCGCCTCTCGAACAAGCTAAGTCAGCCTCCTTCCTACAATACAAGATCGAACCAAGCAAAGAACAATCGCAAGAGCAAGAACAGTAAGAATGCTTAACAGAGTTTGGGAGAATATATGCTTGTATTGCTACTCAAATGCTTTACAAGTTGTGAGGTGAGGATACACAATGTGTCATCCCCCTTATATACTATCCCTATCCCACCTACCACCACAGTAGGTGGGTAAGATACAATGTCACCTACCAACATCTACCAACTACTGTCACCAACTGTAGTCTACCAACTACTATACAACGAATCTGGACATGTGGGCTAAGAGGTCTAGCATGATCAATCCAACGGGTTGGGCCTTGAACATGCGGGCCGTGACAATATGCTTTATTATATTTCTATGTTTGTGATGAAAAAGATGAAAAAGTACATTCAGTATAATCTGTTGGGAGGGCTGGGCTCTCATGGTTTGAACGGATTGCAAGACGTATACAGTATGCATGCATGTGGTAGGTTTCACACTATCCGCATATGTTTTCATGCATGCTGGTAGGAGATGTAAGCATGTATAGTTCTATTTTACTCCATTAATTGCTCAGTCTGGCTTCATGTTGGGAAAAATTTAAAACCAAAAATGAAAGTGGTAGATAATGAATCTTGAATGTTTTTCTTTTCTTCTTGTTATTGCATTTTCAGATGTTCATGTTGAGGAGAGCTTCAGAAGAGCCGAGAGGGCATGCGGCTGCAATCATGGCGGAGGTTTTATTAGATGCCGAATGCAAAGGCATCATCAATGCATCCCAGAAGAAAATACTTCTCCAGCAGATGGCCCTCCAGCTCAATTGATGTCACTCTGCTTCCCTTCCCCCCATCATCGAATTTTTAACAATTCTTTTGTCCTTTTCCTTACCCTTACTTCAGGCTGGTTCTTTGTAGAAGCAGTTTTTGTAAACCCCATATATATATAGAGAGAGAGAGAGAGAGAGAGAGAGAGCTACCAAAATAGGAGAGAGAGAGAGAGAGAGAGAGATTGTATATGAGAGAATTACCACGTCGGGTTGAAATCCCATTTTTCCCGCAGTTGTGAATGCCTTCTGTTAAAAGGTTTAAATTACACATACACCCCTTGAGAATTAGCGTTTTCCTTCTTTTTTGTTTCCGACAGTGAATTTTCTACATTTATTAATACATACCTCCTGTTTCCAACACCCCGATTTTTGTTTGTCCTTTACTTTTATTTTTTATTTTTATTTTTTATAATCAAAGTTTGTCCTTTACTTTGGACTGGTGTTGTACCATTGATCCTTTTCGTTAACCCTGTTAATTTTCGGTTAAAATCTGAGGGCAAATGAGGAATTCATGTCACATCTTAAAAAAGTACAGATTAAAAACAAAAAGACCTATATTTGAAATGATCAAAACTGCCTAGCTTAGCTTGGACAAATGTCAGGAGCTTCTCAGAGGCTGACATGACAAGTTTCTCTTCAAAATCCTCCCAGCAGAGAATATTCATGCCAATGCATGGACAAACTTGGTTATGCTGTGAACTAGTAGATACATAGGAAAATTCCCATAGAACATGTGGAAGCATTAAGGACGATCCAGAACCGAAAGCAATGGAGATTAACCAGCTGGTAGGATCATATGATCGACTACTTGGCTAGACGAAAACCTGCAAAGCTAATGACACATTCTCATGCGCTTAACTTTACATATACTGGGGGATGCGATCGTAGAGATATCCCAAGCCAATAACACATTCTCATGCGTTTTAACTGTTCTACGCAGCAATGTGCTGCCCTGCCCTTTCTAAAAATCAAGCTAAAGATATTCTAGAATCGAGTAGTAGATATTGTTGGAGTTGGCTTACCTTAAGGATGCGAAGGAAGAAGGAAGAGGGAGGCTCGGCTAGAAACTGATCGATCACCAAACTTGGAGCGATAATCGCTTTTATCCAGGGACCTCCAGTGTGTGCGACGTGAAGAAGTGATCGATCGTTAGGGCCCAGCTATCAATCGGATCAGTAATTCCAATCCGGCGTGTTTTGGTCCAAACGCAGGTTTCGGGCGAGTTTCTTGGTCTAGTTTGACTAGGAGTTAATTTCCTATTCCTAATAACATTTGTACTAAAGTCCTATGGTCTATGAATAAGCATTTTAGTGATAGAGTTTTCTCTAAGAATTTTAAAACGAGTTCAAGAGAGAAAACAAGGGCATCAAATTGGGTTTCAGCTAGGATGAGAGAAAAGAGAGCTAAGGTTTGTGAGAGAGCACAGGGGGTTCTTCATTGTAACTGAAAGGATTGTTTCATACTAGTGAATTTCTTTGGGGATCACCAAGAGGACATAGGCACAACGTCGAATCTCTATAAACTCGTGTTTTGTGTGTGTATTTACTTTCATTTGGTGTGTGAGCTTTATATTTGTGTGGGTTGTGTGGCAGTTGCATAGTCCATCAACGACAAAGTCTTGGAATGTTTTCGCACAACAAATATATATAATTCTCACTTGTTTTCTTTTTCCCTTTTATTTCCCGAATATTATTGGTTTTTTTTTTTCATATTGTCGTCACACTTTCATTTCACTTGAAGGAAGTATTTGTATTTAATTTACGGGTCCGAAGGATGAAATGGTCAAATTAAGAACACAAGGTAACATTACTTGGAATTGATGTACTCAATTAATTATCGGTATCCCTCATGATCTAGCGCGCAAATGAACAAAATAAATGTTGTTTTTCTCTCTTTCTTTGTTTCTTTGTTTCTTTGTTTTTCTACCCCTTCCTTTCTTTGTTTCTACCCTTCCGTCCTTCCTTCACAAACCCAAACCAATAGCAGTAGCCTACTGCTTGAGAGGAACGAAACCTAGCAAGTCCCGGGCCTGATATATTGGAGTTAATAAGGATTAATTTACCAGCTCTAGAAAGGAGCCAAGCAGAAAACTTGAAGTGTTGGATCATTACATCAACCTCTAATCATTCTCTAACTTGGACAAAGACAAGACAATCAACCAAAAAAATAAATTAAACAAATCCCACTGTTACCAACAACAGTTCTCCATCATCCTATCCGATTAAAACACATTTTAAACTCCCAAAACTTGCAAAACACCAAACCACAACCCAAACTAGGGCATCATTTTAAGTGCTCTTTTACCCTCACTTCATATTGTGTTGTTAATCAGAAGCAACCAGCGGCGCTATGCTGGTTCTGGTTCAGGGAAGGGTCAATGCAAGGATCTTGCTTCAGAGCAATCCCTGCAGTTTTTCCTTATCCAAGCGGGTCTTGCAAGAAAATAGGAGTTCATATTGAGCTCCAAATATACGTTGGCGCTTCAGCCAAAAGAACTTCTTCTGCAATTCATGCGGTTGTGTTTTTATGACGAGATATTGTTTCTTGATTTCCATTTCAAACTGCTCTCTGGACTTTTTATCAATATGAGGTGATCGCAACACAGTATATAAGACTCGTGATTCAGGCAATGCAATCCTCCGTGTGGAAGGTGGAAGGCCCCACAAAAGGTTTGGGTGATGAAAAGATCGAATCACTACGCATATCTTGGTCGCCATTACTTTCGATGCTCTTTCTTTTTGGCTGACTCCTTTAACAATCGTTAACAAATCCTAGTCAGAGAAATGATAGCAGTCTAAACTAAAAAATGATTTAAATAAAACAGAAAACAATCCAATCCAACAATCTTCTGTTGGAAATATTAATTAACTATACTCATAAAACACATAATAAAATGAATAATAAAATAATATCCAAATTCATAAATCACACACAATTATAAATACACCAAATGAATAGAAAATAGAGTTAGGATAGTCTAGCCTGTGATGATCTAACCAAACAGTTAGTTTCTGCAACTAGAGAAAAAGCATGTCTCTTCACTGTAACACCGTTTCTCCAATTTCTTTATTTATTTATTTATAAATTTCGGTGTTAGCCATCAAAGTTCAAGAAACAATTATAACATGTTATGAAGGCAAGCAATAACAAATAAATCCAAAATTACTTTCTTATCACTGCAACACATTCATAAGAGTATATGTAGGAAGAGAAATCTGACATGCACTAACTATAACTACCACAGAATAAAACTTCCAAATATCACTTCTTATCGTCGCAAAATATGATTTTAGAAAAGTAGTTGAGCAATGTTCAACAGAGAGATGATTCTAGTACCATTAGAAACTACATGAAACTGAACAGAAAAAGTAGAGCACACAACACGGACAATAACCGCGCAAATTTTACAACATTAGGTTCAGAGTCTAAGAAGGATGATTACAATGCTAAATAAGTTTTCAGTATTGCAGTACTTCAAATCGCACACGCCGCATAAAAGTAAATTGAATAAACAGATTGTGGTTGACAAATTACTGAATGAAGACAAGTATTCAGCGAATTATAACACTAAGAGAGATTCTGGTGGATAAATCTTGGGTTTTGTATTTGAACCGTTTATAATTTTCATAATAAAAGTTCCAAAAGTACACAGTGACACATATGACCACAAAACAGAAGCAAACAAACGAAGCAAGTAATCACGCGAAGTTTTGTTTCAACTGTAGAGATGCATTACGTCTTTAGATTGTTGGAAACCCATGAATTAATTCTACCTCATAGAACATACATTTCACATCAGATTCAGAGATTATGTACAAAAAGTAACAAATAATCAGACTTGAGTACCAAAATAGTAAAATTAAAGGATCACAAGTATATAAAGAAAATGAAAAACAAACCAAACTCGTTCAATCTCATGAAAAAGGGTAAAACCCCAAACTTATGAAAAACAAATGCCAAAAAAGAAAGGCAGGTGAACAACTTGTGAGGAACAAACCCAAAATTATAGATTAAACAAAAGAAACGAGATGTAAGACTTACTTCAATGAGAGCACAAAAATGGCGAAATCTGGTGGCGATGGGAGCAGCTGGAATTGACTGGCGGAGAGAAGAGGCAGAGCACACTACACCAGCCTCTCCTTTTTCTCGCGAGACTTCTAAGGAAATGCCGCACCATGACCCATTTAGCATCTTGGGTTATCTTAAAAACTTGACCCGTTCCCTCTGTCTTAATTAGGGGTTGGCATGTTTTTTTTTTGGGTGAAGAAACGTGGCTAATGCCTAACAAAGAAATTAAATAATACAAATTTATAAATAAACTCAATTCTAGACATGTATTTATAAAAAAACTTAAACACTATTTAAACATAGAAACATAAACCTAAAATCAACCCCAAAATCAACAATTGTATATTTTTTGGGTGTGTTTATAAATGGGTTTTGAGTGTGTGTAATGATGAGTTTTGGGTGTGTTTATAAAGTGTTTTGGGTGTTGAGTTTTTTTATAATTTCAGCCCCTATTTTGGGTGGTTTAGTGAAACTCCCATTAAATAATGGCTCGAGGCCTATAGACTTCAAGTAAATCTTCACTAAAAAAGGACCCAATACTGTCAGGAGGGTCTTGGAAAGTTGACAGATCCAACTCAAGACATGAACCCAATTCAGCTAGTTTATCCGCTACCATGTTGCACTCACGATATACATGATGAATAGAACAAACCCAGTTTTTGTTTATATAGTCCTGGCATCCCCACAACATAGTAGCAAGAGGATGAAAGTCTTCCACATTTTTGTTAAGCAGGTGTACCGCGGTTGCTGAGTCAGACTCAAGCACAACTGGACTGCAACCTATATCCCAAGCAATTTTCAGTCCAAGATAGATGCCCCATAACTCAGCTTCCAAGACTTGTTTTACACCAAGATTGACAACAAAGCCTCTCATCCACTGCCTATAACTATCTCTGAGTACACCCCCAGCAGCAATGCGTCCATCCTCACCTTTTCTACACCCGTCGGTATTGATTTTAATCACTCCTTCATTCGGATATTGCCAAGAGAGTGCAGTAAGAGAGCGGGTGGGTTTTCTAGTTTTTTCAATATTGGCCTGTGTTCAATATGCTACAGCCATAAGAATGATGTGTCTGGGGTTGTTGGGAAACACAAACCCATGATCAAAAATATTTTTGTTCCTGCATTTCCAAACAAACCAACAAGTGAAAGCAAACATGGTCGACCACTCCACTCCATAAGTCAAAATTGTAGAGTTGTGTAAATTTTTTGCAACCCAAGTATGAAGATTAGCTGCCTGCAGCAAACTCAGATTCATAGGCATAAGAGACTCATGCCAAACTGAAATTGCCACTGGGCAATTCCGTACAATATGAGTTGCATTCTCCATTGGGGCACCACAAATGTCACAATTGGCAGTCATGGTCATCTTCCTTTTAACTCTTTGATAATTTGTTAAGAGGTTATCTTGGTGCAGCAACCCAAGGAAATATTTAATTTTGGGGGGAGCCTAAATGTTCCATATAAAAGCCCAGCTAACATCCATACTCAACGACTCCCGACAATTAGCCATATATGCTGATTTAACACTGAAAGAGCCATTGGTAGTATGCTTCCAAATAGGAATATCTGGTTTACAACTTAATCCAGCAGGTACACACGTAATATGACCTACCATCTCAAGTGGTAAATCTTCCTTTAGCTTTTCCAGGTCCCAAGTGCCATGAGACAGATAGTCATAAACTTTCAATTGTAATTTATCTTGAGGCACCCTCCCTAACGGACTTATCAATGGCCCATCACCAACCCAATTATGTGTCCAAAAGGAAGTGTGCAGTCCCTCTCCTACTCTAATTTTTGTCCCTTTTTTCAAAATATCTGCATCATGTTCAATAACACACCATGTAGGAGAAGGATGTGAGTGCTCTGCCCTTTCATTGCAAAAAATATTAGAAACATTACCTTGTAGGTATTTCTGAATTAGAGCATTTGACCAGAGGCTCTCCTTGTGTTGCAATAATCTCCATCCTACCTTGGCCAACATAGATTGGTTCATAAGATCAGTTTGCTTAAGACCAAGACCGCCTTTCTTTTTGCTTTTACAAACTGTGTCCCACTTCACAAGGTGGGCCTTCGAAACATCATCACTACTCCCCCATAAAAAATCCATGTTTATTTTATGCAACTACTCACAGGTACTAGCCGGAAGCCAAACAGTTTGCATAGTGTACGAAGGAATGGAAGTAGTTGTTGGCGTGAGTCCTATTTTAGGTAGGAAATTAATATAAGGATTCTTGCAAATATTGTATTACCTGTTCTATCAGGGTTAGCTTTTATCTTTTCTTTTGGTAAAAAGGCATTGTACACTATATATACACCTCCTTTGAGAGAAGAAATTATATATCAGAAATTCACCATATATCCTTATATTTTACTTGGTATCAGAGCTTAGGGTTATATTTGCCCTAGAATAGCAGACCTCCCTTACTGCTACAGATTTTTTACTCGCCACTCCTGCATTTTAACCGGTGAATCAATGAACCAAGTTGAATAAAAACAAAAATAAAATTGTGTTAACTGAAAAAATCAATTTAGACTCAAAAATTGGGACGAGTACTAATCCAAAGTGGTTTGGTTCAAGTAACTCCAAATAATATCTAAATATTTTAGCCCAATTAATACCCAAATGCCTTAGTTCTAAGAGCACCCACAATGGGCTCCCTAAACCACCTCCTAAAATACGGAGTCCTCTAAGAGCTCTTAAATCTGAGGAGAGAGAAAGAACTCCTAGTGGTTTCCTATAATTTAATGCTGCTTTATTTAATCAGTATTTCAAACCTTTATTTAATACTAACCATTTTTTATTTTATTTTTTAATAGAGATAGACCAATCAAAAAAGATTTATAGCATTTATGACTTTCCAAATTAGGGAGTATGGTTGGAGTTGAAATTTTTTAGAGAGATCCTAAAATAGCTTTATTATATTCTTAGCCAAATTTTAGCTAAAAAATAGAGAGCATCATTGTGAATGCTCTAATTAACACCTAATTTGGGGGCTCCAATTAAGACTCTTAGGGGTCGTTTGGTACGGCAAACTGTTATGGACTATATTAAATTCTGGGACTATCTTGGATTGGCCTAAGCTGGATTAAGTACTGACCTACGTTTGGTTCTGTATTGGACTAAGAAGCTGGATTGTAAAAATAGTGAAGACCTATGTTTGGATTGTAAAAAATAATTATTGTAATATTTAAATTTAAAACAATAATTTAAAAAAAAAACAAAAACTTTGAATTTTTTTAAAGGCTAAAATTATCTTTTAAGAAAACCCATCAAATTCAGACCCAACTCAACCTCCTCATTCTTTTTTTTTTTCTCTCTATTTTTTTTTCTTTAATGAGAAACCTCCAACGTTCTCTTGCTTCTTCACCTTCTGCACCTTTGCAAACAGAACAACTATCGGAGCTCGCATCAACCAACCCCAATTCTCTCTCTCTCTCTCTCTCCCATCGCAACCCACCTCCACATCCCCTTTTTCCCCAGTTCTCCTTCTCCCCTATTGACTCTTTAAAAAAAAAAAAAAAAAAAAAATTTAATCAGGAAAGCTTCAAATAGAGGCTTCAGCAAAGTTGTTCTCCCAGGCACGCCGCACATCCTCTTCGATCTTGACAAGCCAGTGATCTGGGTTTGTTTGGTTGAAGAAATTAAGTAACCCCATGAGGAACCGGAGCAAATAGAGAGGACTCTCTGGGTCAATTGATTGGGTGTTCAATTGGTATTGTTGTTGGTGTCGATACGGTTGGTGGTGGTGACAGTGAGGTTGGGCGATGACAGTGCGATGGTTTAGTTCTGCGATGGTTTAGTTCGGACTCGCGAGTTCAATATAGCAAGGGTGTTATATTGCGAACCAGTTTTCAAGCTCGTTAAATTGGAGGAGCAAGTGAGGGGGATTTTTTACTGTTGGACTATATAATCTCATTTAAGCTAGTTCCTCTTCTTAATAAACATGGGTTTCAAGTACTATTTAAGCTAATTCAGTCTAATGAGGCCTACCAAACACACATTTAATCCCAGTCAACAAACCCTTGTGTATCATTTCTTCATTCATTTGGGCCTAATCTACTGAAGTTTGGCCCATTTTTAACTTCATTTGATCCTTTTTCGTTTGAGTACTTAATATTCAAATAACATTAGTAACTTCAAGTAATATCTAGATATTTTAGCCCAATTAATACCTAATTATGGGGGATTCCAATTAAGACTCTTAATCTCAACCGCCGAACCCCTTGTGTATCATCTCTTCTTGCATTCCTCATTTGTGCCTAATCTCTTGTAGTTTGGCCCATTTTTCACTCCATTTAAACCTTTTTCGTTTGAGTAAATTGTTGAAAAATCCTCCAAATTAGATCCCAATTGAACTTAACCTTCCGAACTAACAAATCAGTCAATTTAACACTTGAATTTATCAAAACAGCCAATGTAGCCCTTGCCGTTAACTTTTTTGACTTTCATCCAATTTTTCATTAAGTAATAAGGGTAAATTTGTAATTTCAAGTAAAATAAAGTTAAATTCATAAAACCAAAATAATAAAAATAAAGTAAGGTATTTAAAAATAAATTATCTCACTCGGTAGTACAGTCACGTGATATAACTTGTACATATATTATAATATTATAATATAAGTGTATATTTATTGATATTATTCCCTAAAATGAGGAATATGAATCATGTCATCCACTCATATTATATCATATGTACAAGCTATATCATGTGGTCGTCCACTAGTACCATTTTATAATTTCTCCTAAACATGGACTATAAATAAAAAGCTGTTTTAGTTTCCTCTCACGTGGGCTTCACTCGACTTTTTTTTTTTTCGTTAAACGCTTCACTCAACTTAATTTTTTATGTTGTAGTTGTCGGAAAATGATTATATGTTGTTTCCTATTTAAAAGTTTTAAGATACATTTACAATGTTTTTTTTAGGCTCTCTCACATATGGGTTGATAATAATTTTTTTTTCACTAGAAAGCAATAAAATTATTTTCATTTTTTTTTGTTGTTGTCAAAATCTAATTTCATTAAAAGCCAAAAAGACAAGGTATCACGTCACAAGCCAATAACACAATAGAACAGTTACAAAACCAAGAAGGAACCCTAATGTTGCAAATTCAAGGAAGGAAGCCTAATGTTTCAAACTATTAAAAACAAAAAACCTAAAAGAGAAAACCCCTAATATGAGATTGTTAATACAAAATTAAGAAGGAACCCTAATGTTGCAAATTCAAGGAAGGAAACCTAATGTTGGAAATTATTAAAAACAAAAAACCATAAAAGAGAAAACCCTAATACGAGATAGTTAATAAGGAATGGAATTCCACAGACTTCTAGAATTATAATTGGGCTTTTCCATTCCCTCTTGTTAACCTTCTCACAGACCAACATCCTTCATTGATTGATTGGAATCTAATTGTAGACCAATTTATTAGTCGTTATCAAGGGGCCATACATAAAGGGTAATTCTATATGAACCCCATAAATTACTCTTTACACCCCATAATTTTTTACACCCCACTAAATTTTAATAAAATTTCAAATTATTCATTAAACCCCTTTTTTTTCCCTAAATTGCCCTCATAAACCCCATTCCCTAACCACCCACTGAAAACCCCCCTTCCCTTTCAGCCACACCCCATCTGAAATCAAACCCCACCCCATCTAATATCCAGCCACACCACACCGAAAATTCTCTCCTCTTGCAGACACACCCCATCGCACACCTATTTACACCAACCTCCATCGGCAGAACCATCGAAGAAGCCCTTTGCCATTGCCTGCATCGCAGAACATCGAAGAACTCATCCCTTGCCATCGCAGATCTTTGCTCACCATCGAAGAAGCCCTTTGCCATCGCCTCCAGCAAACCCAAACCATCTCTGAAACAGAACCATCACACCCATCTTTATCTCTGCAAACCCGAAAGCCATTGAAGGTCAAGTTCTCACAAATCCTTATTCAAGGTTTGATTTCAAATTTGATTTATATATTTACGTTTCTAAGTGTTGATTAAGCCTACATTTGAGTTCACTTTTGAAAAGCCAAAGTCTGATATTGATTTTGATTTCAAGGTTCTGGGTAGTTCGAACCTGGTTTTACGAAATTGGATTCTAGTTTCGGTGGATTGCCACCTAAATGATTACATTTCTTCAGTGGTAGTCCACCGAATTGAACCTGTACTTTCGGTGGGTTATCACCGAAATTGTTATCTTGTTTCGGTGGTAGTCCACCGAATCTGTTTCTATTTTTCAGGGGACTCCCACCGAATTTCTTTCGGTTTTTCAGTGGTACTCCACCGAATATGTATTCTTTTTTCAGTGATTGTCCAC